TAAGCAATGGCCAGTCTAGCAGGACATGGCGGGAGGCTCCACCAGGATCCATTGGAGAACCTCAGGGACGATAAAGCCACAAGAACTCCGCGGGAAGAAAGTGAAGTTAGTAACATGCATTAATGGACATGAATGGTACAGTACAGAAAAAGACCGAGAGGAGGGAAGAGGGAGGAGCTCAGCCGCACCCATGGGAAGTTTTCCCCCGATGAGTCTTAGGCCTATTAGCCAGCATAACTAAGGGATGGCTTCAGGGACTCACCTTTTGATCCAGCCCAACTATAAGCTTTATCAAAGAGAAATGTCTTAAGCCTTACTTCTTAAATTTACCAAAATATATATTTCCTTACTATCATAGGTTGACACATGGGATGGGAAGGACGTAAGTGTCAAAAGGGGGTATGATGAGGAAAATACAGAAATATACAAATAAGGTTCTCTAATTTCTCCCATAAATTTTGCCAAAGCTGTGTTATTTGTGTATGTCTAACAAACTGATTTCATTGAACTAACACCTAGTGAGGGAAAGAAATATTATCTCATCATTGTTGATATGTTTTTAAGATGCAACAGCAGTTGCAAAGGCGCTAAATCAAAGAAAATTTAAAATCAAGGGATAATCTTTCATAAGTTCAGCACTGAAAAGTGTAGGCATGAGAAAACATCGTGCCTAACAAAAAAGAGAAACTGGCACATTAGAAAACAAATTTGCGAAATGTTGCATAGGAACAGGTTTGACGTGGACAAAAAGCACTACTAATTGTTTTAATGCACACAAGGGCCAGAGTAAGGAACAGAAGTGGTGTCAGCCCATTTGAAATCCTATTTGGGAGACCACTAAACACTGGGATTGGTCCTGTTTAAAAGTAAACTCCCTGACACTGGTCAATGGGAAGATGAAATGCTATGTTATTGTGCAAACATGTCCCCTGTGCTTATATCCACGAGCAGGTGAAAGAAACCATACCAAAGGCTGCTGATGAAAACTATACAACCAACACCAGGCGATGGGATCGTGATGAAGTTGGAAACAGCAGTAAAGGTCCCTGAGAGAGCAACTTGGATCCATGGCAGCCACTGCAGACTCCCAGAACCGAGATCAACATCAAGCGTGCATCAAAATCAGGAAAGCCAAAGAATAGGGCAAAAAGGGAGGTGCTACCAGCATCCCTGTTAGTCCAACCAAACCTGAGACAGCGTGTCTCGGTAGACTGCTGCATCAAGCAAAGAAACCAGTCCAACGAGCGCCCTCCTCCACCAGTAGCATGCCAAGCTCCAACAAAGTGACGTGCAGAGTGAAGCTCTGTGTCACCTACGAGGGATCAGCGATGGAATCCAGATCTTCGAGAACATTTCAGATAACATGACTAATGATGTTTCTCACTATAATGACTTCCTGCATGAAGAGGAAAGTAAGGTGTGTCGGGCTCCTGAAGGATGGAGCATATGTGCCTGACTGACCACAGGCAAATTTTAGAATACACTGGTAAAAGTGTTACTATCTTTGTAATGTTTAATA